TGTACTTTGTAACCCACAGCTCCCAATAGCTGAACTGACAGCTCTGTTAAAAGATCGCCATCTGGCTGAAGAACTAGGAATTAACACACACACACTGTCCATGGATGAGCATTCAGGATGGCTTATGATGTCAGCATACTGCCCAGAGGGGTTTCCTAACTTCCTAATATCTGCACTTCTTCTTCTTCTCCTTCTTCTTCTTCTTATTATTATTATGTCCGAGTTTGAGTCCCGGCTCCACTTCCAATTCCTGCTTCCCGCTAATGTGCACCTTGGGAGGCAGCAGGTGATGGCCCAAGTACTTGGTTTCTCCATTTACAAGAGAAACTCAGAGTTCCTGGCTCCTGGCTTTGACTTGACCCAGCCCTGGCTGTTGCAGGCATTTGGGAAGTGAAACAATGGATGGAGGATCTCTGTCTGCCTCTTTCTGCTTTTCAAATAAATAGGGGGCTGGCATTGTGGTGTATGGGTAAAGCAGCCGCCTGTATCCCATATGGGCTCCAGTTCGTGTCTCAGCTGCTCCACTTCCAATGTCATGGATGGTTTAATCATAATCCTCTTAAGTAATATTTAATAACAGTTTGTAATTAAGGTAGACTAAAGCCTTCCATTAGTACCAAGTTTTATGCCTAGGACTAATGACACTGCAATTTACTTCTTAAAATCTTCTAAAGTCTGAAATTAAAGATTGAAATGAAAGATTCTGGCCGGTGCCGTGGCTCACTAGGCTAATCCTCCGCCTTGCGGCGCCAGCACACCGGGTTCTAGTCCCGGTCGGGGCACCGGATTCTGTCCCGGTTGCTCCTCTTCCAGGCCAGCTCTCTGCTGTGGCCAGGGAGTGCAGTGGAGGATGGCCCAGGTGCTTGGGCCCTGCACCCCATGGGAGACCAGGAGAAGCACCTGGCTCCTGGCTTCGGATCAGCACAGGGAGCCAGCCGTAGTGGCCATTGGAGGGTGAACCAACGGCAAAAGGAAGACCTTTCTCTCTCTCTCTCTCTCTCACTGTCCACTCTGCCTGTCACAAAAAAAAAATTAAAAAAAAGAAATGAAAGATTCTGGGAGGCTGGGCTTGACTCATCCCTGGTATATCCTCCTCTTGTCATGTTCTTTTTCAAATATGCATCTCATATACATGAGGTCTCCAAAAAGTTCATGGAAATTTGTATTATGAAAAAATTATGCATGGGTTTTGAAATATTTTTGCAGCAAAATAAACAATTTTAAATTGCATTTTCCCACAAACTTTTACAAGTATCTCATTTAGTCTGAGACTCAACATGACAAACTATCTTTCTGAAAGCAGAATCATAAGATATATTGTACATGCCACCACCACCAGCATGCTATGCAACTGGGAGACTAACTTTATTAGAAGAAACACTGATAAAATTAGCCTTTGGATCACACTGGAAATGATCATTGGGGTCTTTAACTTCCAATACAGTTTAAGATTTTATTTATTTATTTGAAAGTCAGAGTTACACAGAGAGGAGAGGCAGAAAGAAAGGTCTTCCATCCAATGGTTCATTCCCCAACTGGCCGTAACGGCTGGAGCTGTGCCCACCAGGAGCCAGGAGCCAGAAGCTTACTCTGGGTCTCCCATGCAGGTACAGGGACCCAAAGACTTGGGCCATCTTCTATTGCTTTCCCAGGCCATGGCAGAGAGCTGGATCAGAAGTGGAGCAGCCAGGTCTCGAACCAGCACCCATATGGGATGCCAGCACTTCAGGCCAGGGTGTTAACCCACTGTACCACAGTGCCGGCCCCTCCAATACAGTTCTTAAGCTCACAAATACATGTTTCTCAGGGAAAATAAAGTCTACAAATTTTTCTCTCTTCCTGGATATCTCATACATCCAAAACTCCCACTACCGTATCTAATTTCCCACCAAAAACTTTGACACCACCTCCCTTCCACCTACTTATGACAAACTGAGCAGAGCTTCCTTCCCTGCTCAGTCTTCCACACACTGTTACTAAGCTCTAAAACTCTCTTGATTGCCTTCTCCCTTTCTTTCTGGCTACCACTGTCTTCCGAGTTCATCATTTATATCTGGACAACTGAGACAATGTTCCCATGCTTACCTTCCTCAAACTCATCCTTCACACAGCTACCAGCATTACCTATTTACAATAAAAATCTGACCATGTCATTTTTTCAATTAAGTCTTCAGTGACCCCCTTATTGACATCAAGATGAAAGTCAGTTTTTACCACACCATAGTCACGTACAATCCCTCTCTCTGCGGTGATTGTGCCAAATCACATGCAACTTTCCGCTCGCTCTCCCGTCCTGCACTCCTCACAACTCACCCCAGCTTCCTTGGCTGCTCTCAGCTTTGTATCTTTGTGCACTCAGGTCAAGAACCTTCTCTTCCAGGAAGCTTAGGGAAAACTGTTGCTGCATCTTTTGCATTCATTACACAATACAACACAACATTGCAATCATTTACTTATTGCTCCAATTTGACTATGGACTCCTTTAAGAGATAAAGTTTCCTTTATCCATAGTGCTTAGTCCAGTGTCAATTACATGAGGTACTTACTCTCTATCAAATGAATGAGTGAACGTTGGACTCCTACAACACTTTTTGAAATTGATTCCTACTTTCCACTGCCACTGTCAAGGTTCAAGTCCTTTCTTCTACCTGTCCTTTCATGTCCTTTGCCTCTTATCAGCCTTCCTAATGCCACCTAAACTCTTTCTAAAGCACAATTCAAACTTCCTACTGCAACAGGCATTTAGCCTACCAGGTAAGAGGCAGGTGCTGAGGCGCAGCAGGTTACCCTGCTGCTTGTGATGCCAGTATCCTGGATTCTCAGGACATGGCTTAACCCACTGTACCACAACACCAGGTCCCACAAACAGACCTACCTCCTAGCTAGCCCCTTCAACAGTCTGCCCTAAGTGTCCGGAGTGAAGTCTTCAGTGGTGAAATGTGCTAAGTCCCAGTTCTCTATATTGCCAGGAGAAACCAACATGCCATATGCTCAGTTCTCAGACCACAATAAAAGAACATAATCTGACTTACAAAAGCTGGTTTTTGGCCGGCGCCGTGGCTCAACAGGCTAATCCTCCGCCTAGCGGTGCCGGCACACCAGGTTCTAGTCCCGGTTGCCCCTCTTCCAGGCCAGCTCTCTGCTGTGCCAGGGAGTGCAGTGGAGGATGGCCCAGGTGCTTGGGCCCTGCACCCCATGGGAGACCAGGAGAAGCACCTGGCTCCTGCCTTCAGATTGCAGCGGCGCCCGCCGTCCCGGCCATCGCGAGGTGAACCAACGGCAACGGAAGACAATTCTATCTCTCTCACTGGCCACTCTGCCTGTCGCTGTCCCTCGGATATAAATAAAGGCGGGATTTCTAAAAACAAAATGACTGGAATCCACATCTAGTCCTATAAGGGGGCCTCTTTTTTTTTAGCTAATGATTGTTTATATTCCGCGGCC